TTTTTTTACAATACAAACTCAGGATTTTATTTTTATTTTTATTTTTTCATGTAGAGCTTGTTGAGTTTAATCGTCAATTTTGTGGCTTCAATCAATATCTCACGCATCACAATTTTATTTTTTAATTTTTTTTATGATATGGAATAGTCCATATAAACTTGTTTGTTTTATTAATTTTAAAATTATATAAAACTTGTAAAATTTAAATCATAAAGATATTTTAAAATATATAAACTGTTTTATTCATTATCATAGGATCAGATAACTAATTAATACAGTAGGTCATGTGTGCCATTTAAAAAAAAATTAAAATAAACTTTTTATTTTAATAATTATTAACTTTTTTAATATAAATTTCTTCACTAACATCTATGTATGCCACTAGTATTCTTTTAATTAATGGCAAAATCTATATATATATATATATATAAAGATTTATCATTTTTTAAAAATAGCAGGTCAAATTTTGGTTAAAATCATTTTGCATTAATTACATTCCATTCTTAGTAATTTTTTTTTCTTTTTTTAAGGAAGTATTAAATGCTACCCATTAATTAAAATTTTGTTATTTGGTTTTCAACCAAAACCATGAATGTTGCCTATTATTTGGGGCTGATGTTGTTTTATTTTTAAAAATTATGTTTAATAAAAGAAATAACTATATATTACCCTAAATTGCTGGATAATTAAATTGTCTTGCTTTGCGTCTTCACTTGCTTAATAAATTAATTAGTGTTGATTTAATACTCAACGGGTCAAACATTTTTTTTATTTCAAATTAAGAAATAAATATGTATAATCGATAAAAAAGAATTAAATATGTATAGATAATATAATAATTATTTTACAAGCTAGCTTTAATATACAAGTGAAAAATATATGATAACCCTATTGATTTTTAGACTTAAACGAACAAAGTCATCTAAAAATAATTCATTTAATATCTATGTCCCGTGCATTGCACGGAGTACGTACTAGTGGTTGTGAGAAAGGCTTATTCCCTTCAAGTACGTACAATTTCCAATTTGCTTTGGTATTGGCCCTTAAAATTATTAAAACAAAATTATAATAAAATGGAAAAAAAAAAGTATACTTGAGAAATCCCCCTCCCCCTATATATTAATTCAGAATGCGCTGAGCCTACGTGACTGTTTCTGGTGCTTCAAAATTCTATGTGGCAAAATTACATGCTTTGTTATTAGGCTTAGGTAAATTTTAATTTAATTCCAAACAAAAAATAATTAGGTTCGGATTACCACAAATATGTTGATTATTTATGGTCATGTTACATGTATTAATTGTATTTTAATATCATTCTTTATTATAACTGTTGAATTGTATATATATTTTAAAAGTGAATAACTTTTGTATTTTTTATCAGTTTTACATATGTAACATATCAAATTAATCTTCTTTTGATGAATTTCGATTTAACATCCATATTGTATGTATAAAAAAAGTAATTTATATTTATCTTTATAACAATAATAAAATTATTTTTAATATTAATTAGAAAATAAAATTATTTTTAATATTAATTAAAAAAATAAAATTATTTGTCAACTAATATATTTATATTTCAAGTAATTTTATATAAGTAATAAAAACTAATATAATATAACACATGTAAGTCATAAGTAAGACATATCATTCTAAAATGTATAGTAATATATTTTTTTTGTAAAAAAATAAACTAAATTTAATATAGTTTTCTCATTAATTTTAAAATTTAAGAATAATTTTTTAACAAGCACCCGTGTAATACACGGGTGTTGTACTAGTTAAAATAACAATACATGACATTTATAAAAATCTGACATAATTGATGTGGAAATATAGTAATTCTGAGTTTTAGAGATAATGTAACGTAAAAACATTAAATATTTTTGACATAAAATTCTTACATAAATGACATAACCTAATAAAAAATACATTGTTATGTTTGGTAAAACTAACTGATAAGCTGATAGCTGATAGCTTATCAGTACTTTTTGAACTTATAGTTTATAGATTATGACTTATAGCTGAAAAGTAAGCTAACTTATATGATAAAAGTGTTTAGTAAAATTAGCTGATAAGTTAGCTGGAATAAAAAATTCAACTAACTTATTTGAAAAACTACTTAAATAAGTTTATCAAATAAATCCAAACTTTTTTAAAAAAAATCTCCTCCTAACAAACGAAACTTATTTAAATACTGATAGCTTATAAACTAATCAAATAAGATATAGGCCTTGTTTGGCAATCAGCGGTTAGCGATTAGCGATTAGCGGATTGTATCAACTGTTTTGACCAGCGGACTGTATCAGCTGTTTTGACCAGCGGATTCTATTAGCGGATTATAAAATAGTGTTTGGTAAAATCAGTTGTTTGTAATCAACTGAATGTTTGGTAAATTAACAGTTTGATATTTACTAATTACATTTAAAATTAAATTATAAGAACATTCATACAATTTAATTTTTCTTTATGTCACAATAACAATAATTTTAATATCTGAAAAAAAATTTTGTGGTATACATCACTATATATTTATTCATATTTTGTTTAGAAAATTTCAAGAGGAGATAAATAAAAAGTGAGAAGCACAACAACTAGCACAACAACTCCTCATTAATACCGTGTATTTAATAATACAAGTTGAAATATTAATTAATAAATAGAAAATGAGAAGAACAACAATCAAGCAACAATACCCATCAAATGGGTCTTTCTTCTTCCCATGCCCAACCGCTAACCTCAAACGCTGCTCATTGCAGCGTTTTTTATTTTAGCTGTTTCATTCAAACAGCTATTTAAAAAAGTTGTTTTACCAAACAACAAATTTGGCGGTTTGAAATGGTCAAACATCTGATATTGATTCAAACAACTAAAAGCTATTCAAAAAGCCATTTACCAAACATGGCCATAAACTAGTTTACCAAACATAGGTCAAATTTCATCTCTAACATTTGTATTTTCGTACTAGCACCTTTAAATTATCTTTAAACTTCACATTAGCACTACCTCTTAAAGAAAATTCTCTCTCCACGATCAGCTTCAACACCATAGTTCGATTTCTTAATCCACCA